CCTGACACGGGAGCCACAGAAGTGTTACAAGAGTGGGGAGATCTGGTCTTCCCTCCACCCCAGGTGCTGTGTGGGGTATTGACTGCAGGGAGCAGGGAGATGCTGAAGCAGGAAAGACATGTAGGAAGCGATTGCAGTAGAAGGAAAGGAAGGCTGTGGCCTCTGCCATGACGGATATGCTGATGGCTAGAAAATGGTGTGCGAGGGAAAGACAAGGATGACTGAGCTGGCTTCAGAGGCTGGAAGGATAGGCTTGCCGTTTACTAAAATAAGGAAGACTATGGGAGGAGGAAGTCTGCAGAGGAGGGGAGATTCGGGTTAGCTTTAGACATGTGAGATCTGATACCCAATGGAACAGTCAGGCAGACAGATGGATGTGTGAGTGTGGTGTGTGGGGGAGAGGTCTGGAAATAAAAACTGGACACAGTGAGGCAAGGCAGTATTTGGGAGTCCATTCATTCTTTTTCCCGTTTAGGTATGGTTTTAGGAGGGGATAGAGAAGATTCTTGAAATGAAGAGCCAGGCTCTAAATAGGCTCTGGCTGTTCACATCAGGCTCCACCCCTTCCTAGTATGTCCTTTTGCAGGTGGTGCTCCTATTTGGAGTTCATTTTCCTGCCCACAGAGAAGGACTTGGACAAGACAACCTAAGGTCTGGCACACGATGGCTCTGTGGACATCTTGTGAAGATTAGATACACTTAGAAGAAGAAGTAGCACATCAAAGTAGCGGTTATTTGTGTGGGTTTATCTCTCAGGCATCCACCCAAGGAAGCAGGGGAAAGATCCTGAGAGTTAGAACTCACAAAGGCAAGCGCTGAAGAGGAGGAGTGCGTGCACGACTGGAAAGATGTGGGACATGCTCTTCAGAGGGGAGGGGGAAAGCTGGGCTTTACAGAGCTGCCCAGGGATGCTCTGAGAGTCAGCATCCCAGCCTTGCTCTGTGGGAGCCTGGCTGTCCCAGCACCTTTAGTGCCTGTTCATCTTGTAGCTCAAACCCAAAAGCTCCATCTTCCTAAGAGAATTCACTGCCTTTCCTAAAGAGACTGTCTCCCCACCTGAAAGCCCATCACACCTTCAAGTGCACAATTCAGTACAGGCTTCCAGTTCTATGACTAACTAAAGGAAGTGGTTCTTTGCCTATAAACCCACCAGTCTGTGATTGGGGTCCACTCAGAGTGCGTCCATGATGGTTGCATTTTTCTTCTTTTACTTTCTTTGAGATAGGGTCTTGCTCTGTTACCCACCCAGGCTTGAGTGCAGTGGCACAATCACAGCTCACTGCAGCCTTGACCTCCTGGGCTCAAGCAATCCTCCCACCTCAACCTCCTGAGTAGCTGGGACCACAGGTATACAGCACCACGCCTGGCTAATTTTTGTATTTTTTTTTTTTTTTTTAGAGATGGGGTCTCACTATGTTGCCCAGGCTGGTCTTGAACTCCTGGGCTCAAGTGATCCTCCTGCCTCAGCCTCCCAAAGTGCTAGGATTACAGGCATGAGCCACCATGCCAGGCCGTGGCGATTACTTTTATGTGTCAACCTAACTGAGCTAAGAAATGCCTAGGTAGCTGGTGAGATATTGTTTCTGGGTATGTCTATGAGGGTGTTTCAGGAAGAAATTTGGAATTTAAATCAGCAGGCTGAGTAAAGAAGATCTACCTTCACCAGTGTGAATGGACATTATCCAAGCTGTTTAGGGCCCAAACAGAGCAAAAAGGTAGAGAAAGGGTGAACTCTCTCTTCTCAAGTGAAGACATTTGTTTTCTTCTGCCCTTGAATATTGGAGCTCCTGGTTCTGGAGCCTTTAGACTCTGATGCTCCCCCTCCCCCTGTCCACCTCTGATTCTTGGCCTTCAGCTTCAGGCTGGTAGTTGCACTGTGGGCTCCCCTGGTCCTCAGGCTTTCTGACTCAGACAGAATCCCACCACTGCTTTCCTGGGACTCCAGCATGTAGATGGCATATGTGGGGCTTCTTGGCCTCTCTAAGTGTGGGAGCCAATGCTTATAATAAATTTCCCATTATATATCTATAAATATCCTATTGGTTCTGTTTCTCTTGAAGAACCTTGATTAATACAGTGTTCTAATGAGGTGGAAACTTAACCAAGAGAGAAAGTAAAGTGTGTCATTAGCATTTCAAGTTTTTGAAAGGGGAGACTTATGAAACAAATGATCATAAATAAAATGCAAAAGCAGTGAAGACAAATTAAGCAAGACTATAAATCAAGCCATGAATACAAGGCACATTGGGATTCAAGTAAAAATGGCTGAGAATTACACACAATGTGGCTCAATGTGAATAATGCAGGTGAGAGGAGATGCCCATAATCAGAAGATCAATGGAATCCTAACTCCAGGCCACTCACAGCAGGGAATAAGATGCCACCTTCATTGGTCCAAGGGAAGACGTAGATAAGAAAGATAGATGTCACGGTTCTCACACTCTGGTTTGGATAATTATCATCTTTTATGTTTGAAAACTGCTACGTCCATCCCCAGAGATTCCATGATCTGAGATGTGGCCTGGGATTTTGCATTTTACAAGCCACAGGTGATTCTGCTGTAAGTGACCATTGGCTGCCCTTGAAGAAACACTGATACGGGAGGGGAGGGTCCCAGTGAAGGAGCTTGGGGGCTACTTGGGTTTCTCAGTCCATTTTTTGTTGCTTATAACAGAACACTTGAAACTGGGTAATTTATAAAGAAAAGGAATTTATTTCTTACAATTCTGGAGGCTGAGAAGTCCAAGGGCATGACCCGGCATCTGCTAAAGGGATTCTTTAAAGTCTAGAGGCAGTGCAGAGTATCACATGGCAAGAGATCGCTCTTCCCCTTCTTATAAAGCCACCCGTCCCACTCCCATGATAACTCATTAATCTCATTAACTCTTCAATCCATTAATCCATGAATAGACTAATCCATTCATGAGAGCAGAGCCCTTATGACCCAGTCATCTCTCAAAGTCCCCACCTCCCAATATGCTACATTGGGGATTGTGTTTGCAACACATGAAATTTGGGGGACACATTCAAGGCACAATAGGGAGGGCTTCAGTTATAGGGGAGTGTATTGTAGACAGTGGAGACTGAAGCCTAGACATGAGGACGGGCCAGCAAGACCGCAGTAGGATCATGTTAATTGGGCCTGTGCAGGTTCATCCCTGGTGGCCAGGTATTGGGTCCATGTAAAGAAGACATATTCTCAGCCTCCCAAATGGCAGGCAGGAAGGTGGAGGAACAAGGAAGAAATGGAGCCAGGAGGAGGGTATCCGTGACTCCACCCAGGGTGAACAGGGGAGGGAGAAGTGAAGACTTTGCTGCTAACCTACATGATGTGCCAACATAATTTATGACGTGTATGTGTTCATGCGTGAGTTTCAACCATGACCTAACTGAAATGAAAGACCTTTGTTCCTAAAAGATTCATTTATGAAAACGTTACAGTATCCTAGTCTTCCTTGGCTGAGCATAAAAGGATTTGTTTCTGAACCAAGAGTCATATTTTAGAAATAAAAGAGCCTGTCATGGAATCTTGTTCATCTAAATGAGAAGCAGCGCTCTACAAGGGTGTGCTGGCATGGCATTTTCCCTTACGTCTTTGGTACACAAGAAAGGTTATACTCTATCTATGAATTGGAGATGTGCAAACTTGCCAGCCTGTGGCTATGAATGAGGCCTCATTAATTTATATGATCACCCCATCTGGGTGCGTCACCTCCACGTGTGCCAACACAGCATTGTAGAAAAAGTGGGGGATGAGACAGGGCGCAGACACCACTCACACCAGGAGTAAAATTAGACATCTTTTTAACCAGCGTCTTGGACTGGATCATTCCATGGAGATGGTGATTATTTTCCCTCGTTTATCAGAGTGATTTACAACCCTGGAAAGGTATATAAATAAGTACAGAGATAACAAAAAAGTGGATGTGGATTTCTTCTGAGTGGGCTGTACTGCATGGGATTTGTAGTAAGTCTTGAAATTATTAAAAATTTATTGTTCTGCTTTGTGTATGCTTTTCTTTCCTGTTTTCATAAAGTTTGAACTGGGTAAGCTAATCTGATTTACCACCTTACAAGATTGATTTATTAATTTACAAAAGTAGCATAATTTCTGAGAATAATTTTGCTTGTTAAGTCTGACACAACAGTGGTTTCGTTTGTCTGGAAAAAGCTGACATATTAAATGTGTGGATATAGTTGTAAATGTCTAAGAAAATATGATTTTTTTCAAAGAAGTGAAGTCAATGTTTAAGAAGGATTTAATACATTAAACTTCAGTTAGTTGAACACTGATCGAAGAGTCAGTATCAATGATTTTAAAATTGTTTTTATTGATAAATATGCTAGAGCAAGATGATTTGTAGGTTTAACTTAAAGGTTTAAGGTAATCTAGGTTTTAAAATAAAAACTTTAATATATTGCATATTACCTTTTAAAAATGAACTAAAATTGGTATTTTGCAGGCATAGAAGCCCTTTTTCCCTGTATGAAAAAGAGAAAAGAAAAAAATTATAACTGCATCTTATTAGCCTTTTGCAGAGTTGCCTATCACTGGCTGCTATTGCTCTTATTAATTTCCGCCAACCATATGGGTCAAAAACGACATTTCTTTATTGCTTATTCATTGCTATGACTACAGTGAGGCTGGGCATATTTTCATTTTAAACTGGACATTTCTGGTCATCTCAGAATTTCTGCTGAAGCCTCAAAACTAAACACAGTAGATGACAAATACTACGTCCTTCAAAAGCAAGGCACTGGACCCATCTAAGGGTTTGCTGAGGGGTGGCTGAGATGATCCAGATTCCCCACCTCTCTCAGGCTTGTAAAGAGAAAGTAGCCAGTCCTTGAGGAAGGAAGGAGACCCTAAGGGAACCAATAGGAGTGGAGAACACTATAGTTTCTCCTCCTCTCGCCAATGTGGCAGGGTTCCCTTACTCTCAAGTTAAATATGGGCAGCCCAAAGAATGTCAATCTTAGACATAAGGGAAATATTTTTCTGCAAAGAGAGGTGAATGACTGATATTTTCCTGCCCTGGCTGGCTGTTGACTGAGGGACGGAGAGGGAGGAAAGTGTCCATGTGTCCCAGCAGGAGACACAGGGCTCCACTGCAAATGAAACTTTATAATCACGACCTCATTTTGGGATCCTCATGCCAGTGGAGCAGCAGGCAAAGAAAGAAGCTAGGGTATTGGTAGAGGTGGTTGACCCTCGCTACCGTGAAGAGCTAGGGTTTCTTCTACGCAGTAGAAGTACATCCGGAACCCAGGGATATCCTTTTTATGGCCCAGCAAGCACCCCTCGGAGATGAAGTTCTGAAGCACCACACCAGGCAGGCAACCTAGACCCGCTGAAGTGCCAGCTGAGGAAAAGGGACAGCTGGGGGTAGTGGGGGAGGGGGCAGGATGAATGTAAGTTACAGCTCAGGCACCAGTTGCAACAGTGCACACTCTGGTTTATTTGCTACATCTCTGTGTTAAGCTATTCCTGAAGGCTCTGTAATAGCTTGGACATACTGTGAGGCAGGCATCGGAGGTACAAAGGGTGGTTTGTTGGGCCAGGCATGGTGGCTCATGCCTGAAATCCGAACACTTTGGAAGTCTGAGGCAGGAGGATCTCTTGAAGTCAGGAGTTCAAGATCAGCCTGGGCAACACAGCCGAGACCCCATGTCTACCATTTTCTTAAAAAATTAGCCACACATGGTGGTTTGTGCCTGTAATCCTGGCTACTTGGGAGGCTGAGGCAGGAGGACGCCATGAGCCCAAGAGTTCAAGGTTATAATGAGCCATGATCACGCCATTGAATTCCACCCTGGGCGATAAAGTGAACCCGCCCCCCCCTTTTTTTTTTCTTGGTTGTATCAGACACCTCTTGAGTCTGACCTTACATCTTCTCAGCTCACCTTTTTTATGCTAGTCATTGCTGAGTGACCAGCCGGACACCAGAATAAACTGACCGCATCTGGTTTCCACTGCATTGCATACATCTAGTTGCACTAGCTTGCATACTCTTCCTGGGGTTTCTCCGGCTCTGCCATGTATGCCCACAGCCTATGCAGCTGTTCTGAGGCAGGTGCAGATCTGGAAGCATGAGGGAGTTAACACCCATGAGGCAATCCTCGTCGTTGACTGTATCAGTTGAGCCTCCCAGGAAGCAGATGCTGAGATGGAGGTAAGAGTGCAAGTGGTTTATTTGGCTGTAACTCTCATGAAAGGTTAAAAGAAGGTGGGGTGAGGGAGAGAAGCAGGATTGGATAGGAAAATCCTTCAGACCACAATGCAGTTCAGACACCTGTGAAAGAAAACAGGCAAGGACACACACAGGGTTGGGCAAGGTGAGCCTCAAATGCTGAGGCAGATCTGTCACATCTTATCCCAACAGGGAGCTTTGGAACAACGATTGCTCATGCTGGGCAGAAATGACAAAGCCCTGGGACCCTCACCATGCTTACCCATTAACTGGTGCTGCCCCAGAAGAGCATGGCTTTAGTTCAAAAGCTGCTTCCTATCCTACAGGCTCCCAGCTGAAGGCTTCCGATAAGTACCCTTCTTGTAGTTAATTAAGAAGCAAGTTATTTCTTGAAAGGAGATCCAAGCAGTCCACCTCCGTGGCTGCACATTAACCAGCGTGGGAGGGAATCAGCAGATTAAATGCTCCCCTCCTCTGTCTCTTGGGCAGGCAATGCTGCATTCTCCATGGCTCTATAGAGAGTTTCCAGCAAGTCTGAGCCCTAGATGCCTACAGCAGTACTTAGCTCAATAATGCCCTCTTGGTTTGCTTTTCCCTCCTTCCTTTTAACCTTCTTCTAGTCCTTCATGCCTATTCCTTGAGATCACTTCTCAAAATAAATTCTTGGAAGCATGCAAGCCTTGTTCTCCAGCTCTGCTTTTGTGGGAACTCAGGCTGACAGCCGGCTTTACTGGACTTTCAAATTCAGCAGTGCCCTCTTCTGATGATACAATGAAGTTCAGTTTCTTTAATGGATGGTGCCCGTGTGTGTGTGTGTGTGTGTGTGTGTGTGTGTGTGTGTGTGTGATAGAGAGAGAGAGAGAGAGAGACAGAGAGACAGAGAGAAATGGCATGCTAATGATTTTGCGATACTGTTCCTGATGACACTTAATTCAGATGTTTCTTCCTTCTTCTCTTTCGCTACCAAGCCTTTAAAGGATGCCTCCTTCTTCCAGGTTACCTCCCTCTCTCCCTAAAGTTTTATAGTTCACACACTTTCTAAGGCTCTTTGTTTTGCTTAGATTTACTTCGTCTCAAATATATTGTCAATATTTCTCTACTAGGATGGAAGGCTCTTCTTCTGATGCTGTACTCTGGGTACAGTTTTTTTTTTTTTTTTTTTTTTTTTTATTTTATTTTTACTTTTGAGATGGTCTTGCTTTGTCGCCCAGGCTGGAGTATAGTGGCACTATCTCGGCTCACTGTAACCTCCACCTCCTGGGTTCAAGCAATTCTCCTGCCTCAGCCTCCTGAGTAGCTGGGACTACAGGTGTGTGCCACCACACCCAGCTAATTTTTGTATTTTTAGTAGAGACAGGACTTCACCATGTTGGCCAGGCTGGTCTCAAACTCCTGGCCTTGTGCTCTGCCCACCTCAGCCTCCCAAAGTGCTGGGATTTCAGGAGTCAGCCACGGCGCCCAGCCTCTGGGGACAGTTATTTTTTTCTGCTACTGCTTGGATTTTTTTGCACGAAATCCCTGCTTGCCTCCAGAGAGCACTCTGTAGCTGGGTCTCCTCCTTGCATAGATTTATACTCCACATATATGTAAATTATCTTCCAATATAGGTGTGGATTAAGAGTAATCTTATTTGTTCTCCTCATTGACCTGCATAGTTTTTGGAGGATGTCTGTGGAGATCTTTGTTTAGGTGGCCGCCATTCTCCTATGAGAATCAGAAGTCCCAATTAAACTTCCGTTCCGGTTGCCTATTTCTTCTTGAATCAGTATTAAAGTTATAACCAGAAAATCGTTATTTTCACATGTTTTCAAATTTATTGGCATAAGAATTTATTTAAAATACTATTTTTTAAATCTTTGCTATAGTTTTGTTCCCCTCTTCATTACTTATTTGTTGCTTTTCTATTTTTTTTTTATACATATTTTTTGAGACAGAGTCTCACTCCGTCACCAGGCACCAGGCTGGAGTGCAGTGGCGCGATCTCAGCTCACTGCAACTTCCACCTCCCGGTTTCAAGCAATTCTCCTGCCTCAGCCTCCTGAGTAGCTGGAACTACAGGTGCGCGTCACCATGCCCAGCTAATTTTTTGTGTTTTTTAGTAGAGACAGGGTTTCACCATGTTGGCCTGGATGGTCTTAATCTCTTGATCTTGTGATCCGCCCGCCTCAGCTTCCCAAATTGCAGGGATTATAGGCGTGAGCCACCGCGCCTGGCCTCCTTTTCTATTTTTTATTGATCATTCTATCACAGACTTTTCTAAAGTATTCATATTTTGTTTTTCAGTTCTTTTCTTTTTAATAGAGACGAGGCCTCCCCATGTTGTGTGGCTGGAGTGCAGTGTCTATTCACAGGCATGATTCCACTACTGATCAGCACGTGGGAGTTTGGACCTGCTGTATTTTTGACTTGGGCCAGTTCATGCCTCTTCAGGCAACCAGGTGGTCCCCTGTCTCCCTGGAGATCACATACTGATGCCAAACGTCATGTGGACATCCTATCAGCATGGCACACTACAGTCCAGAACTCCTGGGCTTAAGTGATCCTTCTGCTTCAGAGCCTTCTGAGTACCTGGGGCTATAGACAGGTACCAGTGTGCCCAGCAGTGTTTATAATTTCGATGAACAAGCTTTGGTACTTATTGACTTATATCTTTGTTTTTCATTTCACTAACTCCTTTTAACTTTGTTATTTCTTTCCTTTTTTTTTCTTTGGATTTATTCTATTATTCCTTCTCTAACTTCTTAGTTGGAGAGTTCATCAATTTTCATCCTTCCTTCTTTTCCAACCTAGATATTTAAAGCATAAAGTTTTCTCTTAGATAGTTCTAGCTACATTTCAAAAGTGTTTATATGTGGCATGCTCAGCATCATTCACTTTTAAGTTGTCTTAGCCCAGGTCCTTTAGAAGGCAGAGCCTGACATAACAATTAAGCTGCTCACATGTTTGGAAAGAACAAGCACAGGGCAGTGAATGTGAGAGGAAAGAGAGGAGGCTAGGTAGCATTTGATGCACGGCGATGCAGTGCCCAGCTGTACCACATACTGCTTCACCGCCAGCCATGGAAAGGCAGTTGTCACCCAGCACCTGTGTTCACTCAGTGTGTTACATTTCCCTAGAAAGGCTGCAGTGAGGGACCTCACCTCAGAGTCAACTGTAGGAGAGTGAAAGAAGGAGGAATTTGTCGCAGCTGCCTCTTTCATCTCCCATTTCCCACTAGTCAACATTCATAGCCAATACCCTACCTTTCCAGGATGTATCATTAGGGCTTTCATTGGCTGCTTGGAAAGCCAGATCCCATGCTCCACAGTGAGGGGTTTCATTGAAGTCCAAAGTGTAGAGGCAACCTGGTGTGGTGGGCCATTGACCAAGAGACAAAGGGGACGTAGCTGAGGCTTGAGAAGGCACACAAGCTTGTTTGCCAAAATCTAAGTAATATCTAATTTCTAGTATGATTAATTTTATAGCCCATGAATTATTAAAAAGTATGTATCTAAGTGTTTAAATATATGGATTTTTAAAGCCATCTTTTAAAAAAATTGGTTTTATGTGTGCTTGAGGGAAATGTGTATTCGCTAGTTGTTGGATGTGAAATTTCGTCCATATCCATTAGATAATTGTGTTGTTCAAATCTTCAGTACCTTTACTGATTTTTCTTTAGGAGTGATCCATTAGTTACTGAGAAAGTATGATAAAATCCATCATGATGGAATAATATATTTCTCTCTGTAGGCCTCCCAATTTTACTTTTTATAGATTAGGGACATTAGGTACTTATAAGTTTAGAATGCTGTTTTTTCTGGTAAAGTAAATCTTTTCTCTT